TAAGAGGCGACTAACGAGATCGGTCGGTAAGTCTCGCTGACTTGGTTGACACATGTCATCGTATCGCAACCTCTTAGATCGATGCTCATGATGTTGATCACTGGATTGCTTTGTCCTATTACTACAGGCGCCGCTATATGACGGGAATATTGCTGAGTGCGGCGTTAAACAACAAACAACAACAAAATGAAAGCCCCCCAAATCACCTCTGTGCATTATTTCTCCATTATGATATATACCCGGCTCTAATTCACAACCATAAGTGCAGTCACAATCTTAGTCTATTCTTAATCAACTTTGTCACCGGTTTGCTCTTGCTTATGTCAATAATGTTTGGGCGTCTTTACAAATCCACCACCAAACAACTACATGGTGACTAAAGGGTCCAGGGTGTTTAAGGCGCACATAATTCCCCTGATACGCGAGGATGGCCCCTATTGACTTACCGCAGCCTCGTATGGGTAGCTGGTCTCGGTGTCAATACCGTCGTTGACCTTTATGTAAGTGAAGGCCTGGTCCATCAAACCTCCTCCGCAGCCCATGTTGCCTGAATTGGAATACAAAATATGGAAATGGAACGTATAAAGAAAAGCGACAAAACCCTTTCCATAATCACTAAAAATATAAGATAGAAACAGGGACCAGCAATGCGATTATATCACGAGCGTGTATGTATAATTCACTTCGAAAATGTGAGTGAGTGAGTGGGTTGGGCTTTACGCCGATTTTAGCAATATTCCAGCAATATCACGGCGGAAGACACCAGAAATGGGCTTCACACATTTTACCCATGTGGGAAATCGAACCCGGGCCATCGGCGTGACGAGCGAACGCTTTAACCACGAGGCCACCCCACTGCCCCTATGAAAATGTTATGGTACCAGGTGTTGCAAAAAGGTGAGTGAACCCTGTCCCACCGGGGTCACCCGTCACAAACACATGCAAAGGCAGGTCAAATGTTCATTGTGAATTGTTCGTTCCTCGCCAAGGAACTTACAAAATTATCACTTTTAATTTTAACTCTAGGACACTCTTCAATAATGTCGGTAATGCCTCGTTACATTCTATAAGTGAGTGAGTGAGTGTGGTTTTACGCTGCTTTTAGCAATATTCCAGCAATATCAAGACTTCAAACAATGTACCCATGTAGGGAATCGAACCCGGGTCTTCGGCATGACGAGCGAACGCTTCAACCACTGGGCTACCCCACCGCCCCTGTTATTCTATAAACTATCAGTGGTTCCTTGCTTTAACTAGATCAAATAGATTGCCCAGACAGCACGCATGCACACACGCACATACACACTAGTGGTGGTCCGATTAATTGAAATAATCGAAGATTGGTCGTAGTGACTAAACGACCAAGCAATCGATCACGATTGAATTTATGTTAAAGATTCCAAACAATTCTGGAACACTTGTTTTCATTTTTAAAAATTCACATGGTTGGTTTTGTCTGTTACATTTCGTAAGCACTACAAGCTCGATCGTTTCAAGTCACGATTGAATTTATGTTAAAGATTCCAAGAAATTTATGTTACTAACATACTAGTCATCCTTTAAAGATGTGAAATTTTGCCAAAAAAACCCAAAAGAACTTGTTTTTTGCCTTATTTTTAGGTGCATTAACAAATTTCATAAATGACGCTAACCAATTATTTTCGATGATTGATCGGTAGTAATGAACCAATCATCAATTATGAGATTTTAACCAATTCCCAACAGTAATACACACGTGCATGCACATCGCTACATAAAAGCGACATGTTTAAGAACGTGACATCAGACCCTATATCTGTTAACCTGTGTCTAAATCATATTAATATTTAAACACACCTCTGACAAGGAATACGTTTTCTTACCCTGCTTGGTGGAGCAGTCGACCAGGTTCTGTTCAGATAGGGAGACCAGTTTGTTGTAATATTCTTGAAGTGTTGACCTTCCAGGGAGCCAGTGGAGGAGAGCAAGCCCAGCAGGAGCCGCACTGTTCCATGAACATGGATTGTGTATTTTAGACATTGTGAAGGTGAGGTGAGGTGAAACTGGATTTAACGTCGTGTGACGACTATGCGTAAATATCCATATGAACATCTGCTAACACTGAGATATCATGACGCAGTGAAGCATTTCAGACACATTATACGGATCAGTGTCACCAGTCCTTGCTGTTTAGCGCCAGGCAGGGACCAACAAGTTCGTCTTTTGTCCGGTCGGGGATCGAACTCCGCGACATTCCGCTGTGACGCTCTACTAACACCACGGATCCCTATTCTTGTGATACTAAAGGATGACAATTCCTAGCTTATTCTAATATGTTACCATAGTTACCAGACTGGGAAATTTGGATTCTGTATTTAAGATCATTTTGCAAAAGTATTTACGTAACAGATTGCAAATAGAATCTGTATTTTGTTAATATATCCCCTCGGCGATCGAAGATTGAATAGGTCGTCGTCATAGTTTCTGGGAGATGTAACCCTGTTCAGTGGTAGGCAGGAAATATATTTTACAGATCAATGCAGTTTATTTTCATTGACAACAGAAACATATCAATTTCTTGTTCAAATGATTTATATATTTTCTAAGGAACCGTTCATGATTTATGGCAAGTGTATGTGTATGTGTGTGTGTGTGTGTGTGTGTGTGTGTGAGTGTGTGTGTATTATTATTGTGTATTATTATTATTGCATGTCATTTTAAAAATCAATGACACCCCCTCCCCTTCCCATAAGTTTTAAGCATATATTTTAAATATTTTTATGTACAAAATTGCTGACACCCCTAGTACATGTGTACAAAATTGCCCCTAGAACAAAATGGGTGAACCCTCCCCTTAAAGTCATCAACCCCTTCCCCTCCCAAGCTAGACACCCCTAACCCCACCACCCCACCACCACTCACCCCAAGCCATGAATTATGAATGTTCCCTAACTTAAATGGGGCGGGGGGTAACCTTAGTGGTTAAAGTGTACAATCGTCACGCCGAAAAACTGGGTTCGATTCCCACATGGGTACACTGTGTGTAGCCCGTACCTGGTGTCCCCGCCGTGATATTGATGGAATACTCACCCGATCACCAGCACTCAAGCGATCTAACCCACCTAGCCATCGCAGCGTTTAAATTCCGTACCAAAATATCTCAACCCTTCAGGCACTAAAATACATTAAGCTGATACGCCGAAGTAAATCTCGTTTTGAGTTCTAAGCAGCTTTGAACCTAACTCCCTCACTAACACACTGAAGATATACCTGGTTCTTGACTCCAGTGACGTATCCCTTGGTTCTCCAGTCGACGGTGTGTCGGGGAGGGCGCCCACGTTGGAGGGGGCATGTAGGTGGGGGCCTTGGGCGCTGTTCCTGCATCTTGTAGCCGTTCATCACACTGACGAACTCATCATTTGGCTGGGAAACACAGTCGGTTAGTAATGAGAACATTGTATCGAAATAATGAGTGAGTGAGTTTAGTTTTACGCCGCACTCAGCAATATTCCAGCTATATGGCGGCGGTCTGTAAATAATCGAGTCTGGACCAGACAATCCAGTGATCAACATCATGAGCACTGATCTACGCAATTGGGATACCATGATATGTGTCAACCAAGTCAGTGAGCCTGACCACCCGATCCCGTTAGTCGCCTCTTACGACAAGCATGGGTTGCTGAAGGTTGCTGATATCCAGCCCGGATTTTCACGGGTTTCATATACGTGTTGGTTTGGTGGCTAGATAGTGTCGTAGCGTCGCGCACTCAACTCACCATGTCGGCGTACTCGTTGATGCCGACTCTGAAAGTGTGGACGCCGCGGTCGGCCTCCAAGTTGTGCTGCTGGATGAAGTCCACTGCCTTCATGAACACGCCCTTCCTGTGGGGTACATAGTACGATGCAGTAACGGCAACTATACTCATGGGTAAAAGAAACTTGGCTGGTGTGTATTTCATCTTTTGTTATTCAAATTCTTTGTTAATCAAATAATGTTGAAAATTTTAATCTGAAATTTAAACAATTAACATATTCGTGCATTTTGGGAATATGTCAATAGCGTCAGAGCGAGTGGTTGGATGGTTGGATCTGACGTAAAGTTGGGTGGTTGTATGCTGACGTCAGGGTGAGGGCATGTATTTCCCTTCATGACGTGAGTGGTTGGAGGTGACGTCATGCGGCATTGTGAGTGGTCATGGTGAGTGGTTGGAGGTGACGTCATTGTGAGTGGATTGGAGGTGACGTCATTGTGAGTGGTTGGAGGTGAATGACGTCATGGAGGGTTGGAGGTGACGTCATTGTGTGATTGGTTGGAAATGACGTCATGGCGAGTGGTTGGAGATGACGTCATGGTGAGTGGTTGGAGTGACGTCATGGTGAGTGTTTGGAAATGACGTCAATGTAAATGGTTAGAGGTGACGTTACTGGGGTAGCGTCATGCTCATTGGTTGGGTGACGTCAGAGATAGTGATTGATGCAGGGCGGGATTGGTGGGAGCGGGAGCTTCAAAGATGGGTAGCTGGGCGTGGCTTCCAGGGTGGGTGTCAGGGCGGGGGCTTCAAAGGGTTCTCAGGGCGTGGCTTCCAGGGTGAGTGGCAGGGCGTGGCTTCAGGGTGAGAGGGAGCAGGGCGGGGCTTCAGAGTGGGTGTCAGGGCGGGGCTTCAGGGTGAGTGGCAGGGCCTGGCTTCAGGGTGGATGACAGGGCGCGAGGCTCAGGGTGAGGTGTCAGGGCGTGGCTTCAGAGTGGGTGTCAGGGCGGGGCTTCAGGGTGAGTGGCAGGGCGTGGCTTCAGGGTGGATGACAGGGCGAGGCTTCAGGGTGAGTGACAGGGCGTGGCTTCAGGATTGGCGGCAGGGCGTGGCTTCAGGGTGGGTAGGCTTCGGTTCCCGGCTCACCTGTAGGCCTCCTCCCGGCTGTCCTTGTACTGCTTGTTGTGTCTGGCCTTGAACATCTCCCCACTCCCGGTCCAGGTTACAGGAGGCAAGGGGCAAGCAAGGCGACGACAACTGTCACACGGAACATCATCTACAACAACAACAACATCAGCTACCGTCAGAACAGAAGCGTCATATATTGCTCTGAGAGAGGAGAGAGAGACACAGAGAGAGACAGAGACAGACAGACAGAAAGAAAGAAAGAGACAGAGAAAGAAAGAAAGAGAGTGAGAGCGAAAACGAAGAATAGAGAGGGGAGAAGGAAAGGGAGAGAGAAAGAACGTGACAGAGAAACAGAGAGGGAGAGACGGAGAGAAAAAGAGCGAGAACGAAGGAGAGGGGAAGAAAGAAAGAAAGGTAGGGAGAGAAACGAAGGAAAGAGCAAACGAATTACAGAGGAGAAAGATGACGGGATGGGGTGACGGACATATACAGTCCACGTTGTGGATATATTGTGGATTTAAAAGAAACGAAACTACAAACCTCTAAAGACACGGTAGCCTAAACTGCCTAACATCGCTGATATTGCTACCCGGTCGGGAGGAAGGATCAGAATTTCAAATCAAAACGTATTTAAAGTCATGGTTTTCATTTTCAATGTTTCAGTGCTCATCAGCTGACAATTGAGATTATTGATAAAAAATA